TTTTTTTTTTTAACTTCTTTCAAGATTTTATTTTTAATCTTTTATTTTCTGCAGTTTGAATATGTTACATAGATTTTTGGCAATTATCTTACTCAGTGTTTTCTGAGCTTCTGGATCTATGGTTTGGCATCTGATGTTAGTTTGGAGGAAATTATCAGTTATTATTGTGTTGATTTTTTTTTGTTCCTGTATCTCTTTTCATTCTGTTATGCCTATAATGAGTATGTCATGCTTTTCTAGTTGTTCCATATTTCTTGGACATTCTGTTTTATCTTTTTTCAGTCTTTTCTCTTTTTTAGTTTTGGTGGTTTTTATTGATATATCCTCAAGCTCAAAGATTCTTTTCTTAGCTGTGTCTACTGATGAGCACATCAAACACATTCTTCATTTCTGTTACATTGCTTTTGCTCTCAAGCATTTCTTATGAATCTTTTTTAGAATTTTTATTTCTTTGCATACATTACCCATTTGTTATTGCATGTTGTCTCCTTTTAACACTATAGCTTTTAGCATATTAATCATAGTTGTTTTAAATTCATGAGCTGATAATCCCAGCATCTCTGCCATATCTTGATCTGTTCCTGCTGCTTGCTCTGTCTCTTCAAATTTTCTTTTTTACCTTTTAGTATGCCTTATACATTTTTATTGAAAGGTAGGCATGATGTTCTGGGTAAAATAACTGTAATCATGATCCTTTAGCTATATAATAGTAAGACATGAGGGGGTGGGAAATCATTCTATAGTTCTATGATAAAGCCTCAGTCCTAGGCTGTAAACTTCATAAAGGCTTTTCCCCAACCGCCCACTTTCCCCACTTTTTTTTTCTTCACCTACATAGCTTGTAAAGGATGGCTAGAAGGGGCTAGAATTGGGTATTTTTCTTCCCGCAGGTGAGGCTGGGGTTAGACTTTGAAAATCCCTCGGTAGGTTAGGCTCTGATGAAATAGTTTCTCCTCAGGGCAGGCTTTGTTAAGAAGTTCAGAATGCTCTGATATATTATTCAAAATGATTGCTTTTCTCTTCCCCCTGATGGAAGCCAGGAGATAATTCTTTAATCTTCTCCTTGAGAACCTGATAGAGCTCCTAAAGGTAAAACTCAAGAAAAGTGTGCCCCTTTCCCCATGACTAGGTACCCCTGGAGTTTTTGTCACAGGCTTGTTCCCACATAGCTTCTAGCAATTTGTCAATTAAAGTTCGGATTTTCCTATCCCTAAACTAGTTTCTACCCTTGTCAGGTGGGCTGATTCTCTGTACTTACTTTTTCTCCAAATTTGGGGGCATCAGTTTGCCCTGTGACCTCATTTCTCCATAGGATCTAAGAAGAGTTGTTTATTTTCCAGTTTGCTCACCTTTGCATATGTTGTTGGATTCTAGAGGCAACTTCTAAGCTCCTTATGTGCCAGACCAGAAACTAGACCGTCTTCTGCGTTTTTATGAAAATGCTGTCAGCTGTGACATTTAAACAAACAAAGACTGATGTTTTTCAGAGGCCACGAATAGACAAGGTTTAAAAAAAATTATTTAAAGAAGAAAAACCATTGAATTATGTTAATATTTGTATTCCTTTCTAATATGGTTGTAAGTAAAAAATCAATAACATCTGTTCTGGATCATGAGCCATAACCACCTCTACTCATTTAGAACATTTTCATTTACTACCTGCAGCTCCTCTTTTGCACTTTAGAAATATGACTTGGATATAGCTCAAAGGAGGAGTGAAGGCCCTTTTCATTATCCACATCTACATTTCCTATTAACTACTTTTCACTCTTTATGATGAGAGTCCCTACATGCAGAGATTTCTGATGGAAGGAAATTAAACCTTTCTCACAAGAGAAAATTTAGCTTTTAGAAAGTTGTTAATGTTGCTGAAGTTGAACATAGACCTACTGTTAATATTAATAAAGAAATTACTACTGATCATAATGTTTTAAGTATTACATCAGAATTTTCCTTTGGCATTTGAAAATCAATGTGGTTGATACTCCCAAGATACTCTATTTTTATTGGAAGATGGTTTTTATAACTTTTGAACATAAAAAGCTCCTTGAACAACATTCACTGTTTCTGTTCCCGATTCATTGCCATGGTAGCAAATTTACATAAGAATGAGGTATATTTTGACAGGAAACATAGCAAACATCCATTTTGGTTAACTCTCTGTATACCATCGGATACATAGACTCCAATTTTAATTTTTGAGTTTTTATTTTGTTCAATTTTAACTATTTTTAAGGTTTGATATTTCATCATGACTTTTATTCTTATTAGAGGTTTTCAAAAGAACAAAGAGTAAATTTACTTTTTTAAAATATACAATAAAACTTATTCCATCTTGTATTACCTAAGGTTCCACTGGGCCTTTTGCACATCATTAATCCCAAAATATACTATGAGATTTTAGTGATCTTATTTTTTCCTATTTCTTAAAACATGTTGCTATTTTATTATTACTCACCAATTATTTCCAACTATGTTAAAAAGATGAAAACAATTATTTAGATGGAAGAATTTGGAGTCAACCAGAAAGGTGATACAGAGGTGAAACATATAATCACTGAAGTGTTTTTCCTAGTATTCCAAAAATCAAGGTCTCTCTCTCTTTCCTTCTCACTCTCTCTCTCACACGCACACACACACACACCCCATAATGTTTATTAGCTAAAATGGAAGCGAATGTTTGTTGATTATTTGTTATCTTCATACATATTGTTAGTAGTTTTAATTAAGTAGATTATATTATTTAAATCTCACAATATACCAGTGAGGTAATCATTTTTACTCCTGGACCTAATTAAACTAAAGAGCTTTTGTGCAGCAAAAGAAACTATCTACAGAGTAAATAGCCCACAAAATGGGAGAAAATATTTGCAAGCTCTGCATCTGAAAAGGTCTGATATCCAGCATCTATAGTAAGCAAAAAATAAACAACCCCATTAAAAAGTGGGCAAAGGACATGAACAGACACTTTTCAAAAGAAGACATATATGTGGCTAATGAGCATATGAAAAAATGCTCAACATCACTGGCCATTAGAGAAATTCAAATTAAAACCACAATGAGTTATTGTCACACACCAGTCAGAATGGTTATTAATAAAAAGTCAAAACATAACAGATACTGGTGAGGTTGCCGAGAAAAGGGAATGCTATATACTACTGGTGGTAATGTAATTTAGTTCAGTGACTGTGCAAAGCAGTTTGGCAATTTTTCAAAGAACTTAAAATTGAACCATCATTTGACCCAGCAATTCCATTATTGGGATATATACCCAAAGAAATAGAAATCATTCTACCATGAAGATATATGCACACATATGTTCATTGCTGCACTATTTACAATAGCAAAGACATAGAATTAACTTAGATGCCCATTAATAATAGACTGGATAAAGAAAATACAGTACATATTCACAATGGAATACTATGCAGTCATGTAAAAGAACAGGATAATGTCCTTTCAGCAACATGGTTTGGGCTGAAGGCCATTATCCTAAGCAAGATAATGCAGTAACAGAAAATCAAGTGCTGCATGTTGTCACTTATAAGTGAGAACTAAACGTTGAGTACATGTGGACACCAAGAAGAAATAATAGACACTGGGGCCTACTTGAGGGTGTAGGGTGGAAAGAGGATTGAAAAACTACCTATCGGGTACTATGCTTATTACCTGGGTGATAAAATAATATATAAGCCAAATCCCACAACACACAATTTATCTATATAGTAAACCTGTACATGTACCCCTGAAACTAAAAGTTTAAGAAAAATAATTATTACCCCTGGTTTATTAATAAAGAGAGTCTAAGAGCATATGCATTGTTTTATATCTTACGCTGTCTAATTTAGTAGCTGATACCAACTAAATGATCAATATAATTTAATTAATAAATTACATTTTTTTCAGGAAACTGTGAGATTTTATATGAAATACATATACATTTTAAATTCTAAGTAATACTGAACACTTACTTAATATAAAATGTGGCCCCTGCCTTTAAGGAATACTCTAGTTTTACAGAATACTTAGACTTGTTCATAACTTACCATAATACAAGGAGGAAGTTCTGCAGCTTAATATGACTATGATTTTGCAAAAGAGGTGGTGATTTCTCCTATTTGGAGGAATCGTCTGTAGTAGTACATAACCTTGTATGTTCATCAGTGGAAAGAAAGGGTATTCCAGAGGGATCATCTCAAGTATACAGCTGGATATAGGAAAGAGGATAGTTCACATGTGACTAGCCAGTTGTAGGTATGAATATACCTGAGTTTCTATATTTTATGACAACAGTTGTAACCAATAGATACATATACACATATACATACTTTAGCACATATCGAAATAATATCCTAGGATAGTTTTAGGAGTGGTATAATGAGAAAATGTACTAGTAGTATTCATTCTTGCTGAATCTTTCTCTGAGGCACTGTTTACAGCTCAGTGGTCCAAAATGGAGCTGGCAGACATTCTGGAAAAATTAGAGGTTTGTGTTCAGATGAATCTGGCCGAGCTGTATGACCTCAGGAAGGGTACTTCATTTACCTCAGTTTTGAAGTGAGGAAGGACTGCATACTTTACAAGGTTATAATGATAATTAAATAAGATATCTATATAAAGTCCCTGTCCCATGTCCAGCATATAATAGATAGATATGAAAATGGAGGTAGCTGGGGTTCAATTCTAGATCCTATATACTCCAGAACACACAAGCTCACCAGAACCTAGAAATCAGATATACTAGACACTTACTTGAGGACATCCAACTATCCAAATTTAAGAGAGGAGATTTGCCAAATAAGTAAAAAGATGTTCATATTATTACTTTTGGGTTGCATTACTCCACTCAACTATTAGCATATTAATTAAAGGGACAATTGGAACAAAATACTGTTATAATAGTAACGAGAAAGTAGAAAATTCTAATTGGGTAACTCGGTATTTATTTGAATAGGAACATAGGCACTTTTTTGAAGCAGCCATGTTTCATTATCTTACAGATAAATCCAAAACACATGACAAAGTTGCTGCACTGGCCAAGAAAAGGGTAAGGTTGTGTTTTATTATATAAAATATACAAACTTCAAATTTCATTTGATTAATAGTATTTTTTAAAGAAAATTAAATTATTTAAAAACAAATAATGACATACAGTGCATTTTTTCTTCTAAATATTACTTCATTATATGTTCCCTTTTTTAGGTTGATACTAGGAAATTAATATTTATGGTTACTTATATTAATGTTATAGGACTATCAGAAATTAAAACAATAGAAAACTATAAGTAAACAAGTAAATGAGCGCTTTTACTTAAATGATATTTCATATTCATACTCATATACCCTTCACACTCATACTCTTATAAAATATTTTTATATACTATATTACCATACTGTGTGTACACAATTCATAGAAAATTTAAATAAAATTTGGATCTCAGCATGGCTTTTGTCTTAAACTTAAGTAGATCACAATATCAGCCATTTTAATGACTTTTATGAACCTGGTATTTTTTTAATGTAAATTGTCAGCAGCATTTTAAAAGAATTATTAAAATTTAATACATTATTCTCAATATTGTATTCAGAGAGTTGTTTACTTACTGTCAAAAACTTGACTGAGATAGGATGAACCTTGACATTCTCCTCAACTGATGATGTTCTTACTACTAAACAAAGAGAAAGAGTTGGTGCCTAAATCAAATACTTCTGGACATATACTAGTGCCACAATGAAAGGAATTATGATAGAAAGAAAAGCCTTTGATGAGATTTCCCATGTTGAGCGGTGAGGCAGAGCAGATCAAGGGATGGTCAAGTGTAACCTTGAGGAACAGAAAAGGATATTGGGCATGTAACTATAGATGGCTAGGCAAAGGCTGGGCATCATGTTTGTATTCTGAATATGTACATTTTATGAGTCTTTCTAAAATCAGATTTTGTTTTTTTTTTTTGCTTTTTGGCTTATGAAAGGAATTTGGTCTTTTCACTGGCTGAATAATGTTCATGTTCCTTCGCAGAGAGGAATTCAGTATCACAGAAAACATGGATGCCCTTTATAAAAGAAAGGATATAGGTCTTATGTGTTCATCTGGAGATTTAGACAGGAATATGTGAAGTAGTGTAGTATTGTTAATGTGGACAGGTTTATTTCAATCTTTGCTAAAAGATATTTAATCAAATATTATAAAGATAATAACTAATGTTTCTATATATTACTTTATTTTTACCAGTTGTTCTTAACAAGGGTAGTACTGTCCTCAGTGCCATGGGCCAGATCTGACCTTTAAACTATTTTTGGTCTGCAATGAGATATGTACCAAAAGCAAGAGTAATCATTTATAAACTTGTATGGTAATTTGATAGAGTATTTTTTGTCTGTTGAATCTAATAATAATAAAATGAAGCTTGCGTTTTTTAATATGTCTGTTTTTTATTTCATTTTTTCTCTAGTAACTCATTTTTATTTTATTTAATAAAAGTATAGATCTCAGATAGACTGGGGGAAAACTGATTCTTTACCACAGATAGTTGAAGAGTTACTGTCTTAGGAGACATTTTAGAAATTTTTGGAGATGCTGTGGGTTATAGTAATTTTGGAGAATATAAGGTGTTTTACTGGGCAAGAGCTAGAGACACTAGGTATCTTAAGATGTATGGAACAGGGCTGTGTAAAACAACTATCTAATATTTGGAATGAGTTTGAATGTTCTGCTGGAGTCAGCAAACTAGAAGTATAATTATATATTGTGTTAATACAAAATAATACTGAAACATTACATGTTAGGCTAAAAGCCAAGGAATTAGAAGGCTTGTTATAGAGAGGCAAACTGACATAGAATAGACAGATTAAATTAGCTCTTGAAATAATTGACTATTTTACTGAACACTTTGTAACATTTTCAACTATATATTTAGCCACAAAAGGTCAAAGTACAGTTACAGAGAAATCATGGAAGGAATTTATAGATATGTAACAGGAAATTTGAGATGGCTTTTGTCTTAAAACTAAATATTACTTACTAAATTAATAGAGATATAGGAAATGCATTGATTTCACTGAATTTTTAAAATAAATGTTTAGAAATATTTTTAGTTCTTGTATCAGTTTGCTGAGAATGATGGTTTCCAGGTTCATCTGTGTCCCTACAAAGGATACGAACTCATCAATTTTTATGGCTGCATGGTACAGAAAATCAAACACCGCATATTCTCACTCATAGGCGGGTGTTGAACAATGAGAACACAGGAACACAGGGAGGGGAGCATCACACACTGAGGTCTATCAGGGAGAGCTAGGGGAGGGACAGCAACGTGTAGGGAGTTGGGGAGGGATAACATGGGAGAAATGCCAGATATAGGTGATGGGGATGAAGGCAGCAAACCACATTGCCATGTATGTACCTATGCAACAATCCTGTATATTCTTCACATGTACCCCAAAACCTAAAACACAGTTTATATATATACACACACACACACACACACACACACACACACACACACGCATATATATATATATATATATATATATATATATATATATAACACACACACACACAACTTAAAGAAAAAAAAAGTTAACATAAATTAACCATAAGATCCAGCAATCCTTCTTCTAGGTATGTACTCAAGAGATAAAAATGTACATCCACACAAAAATTTGTGTGTGAATGCTCATAAAAAATTATTCATAATAGCTGATATGGTTTGGCTCTGTGACCCCACTCAAATTTCATGTTGAATTATAATCCCACATGTCAGGGGAGGGGCCTAGTGGGAGATGATTGGATCATGGGAGCAGATTTTCCCCATGCTGTTCTCATTATAGTGAGTGAGTTCTCATGAGAGCTGATGGTTTAAAAGTGTGGCACTCCCCAGCTTTACTCTCTCCTGCCACCATGTAAGACATGCCTTGTTTCCCCTTTGCCTTCTACCATAATTGTAAGTTTCCTGAGGCCTCCCCAGTTCTGTGTGATTTTAATTGACTCACAAAGAACTGTGAGTCAATTAAACCTCTTTTCTTTATAAATTAAATAAATAAATAAATATTTTTTAGTGTTGTTAGCAAGATTATAAAACATTTCCACAAACATTGTCTTTCACTTTAGACACCAAGGGGAAAACAAGGCGGACATTATTATCATAATCTTATAAAGAAGGTCATTTGTGGTTAGAGAAGTTAAGGAACTTGCTCTAGCTACATGGTACTTTTAGATATTTTTATTTAATCTTAATTAGTTTTCCTTAATTCCTATTAAAATATTGACAAGTCAGCCTCATTAAGGTTTGAATATTAATTTCACTTAGTAAGGTAGCTTTTATTTTTCTTTACAGTTTGGTTTTATGGATATTGAACATAATATTTTTAAAGATGAGTATTTTTTTATGTAAAATATTATACATATATAAAAGAAAGCTGTTGGTATGAAAGAAAAAGATAATGGCAAAATATATTAGGTAGTCAAGTGCCAGGCACTACATATATGTTATTTCATTTTATTTCAACAATTATGGGGCACATTCAATATTGTCTCTGGTTCACAAGTGAAGGAAACAGGCAGAGGGATATTGACCTCTGCAAAAAAACAATACAAAGATAGATGATTTAAAAGCAGATAATTGCTTCTAGGGCCCCTCATCCTGGGTTGAAAAATCTTAATAGTTTGTGTTTTTTAATTTATATAAATACATAAGTATTTATATACATTATATCATATTTATATAACACATACATATATGTTGTATATTATTTATATAATACATAAGTATTTACATATATTATTTGTATAATACGTAAGTATTCATATAAATAAACAAAATACAAACTGTTAAGATTTTCAACCCAGGATGAGGAGCTCTAGAAGCAATTATTTGCTTTTTTATGATCCATCTTTGCATTGTGTTTTTCACAGTGGTCAACACTGTTTTCTTCATTTGTGAACCAGAGATAATACTTATGTCTTTATATAAACAAATGTGTGTATATGTATAAATGTTTTGTGATTATATTATTTTTTACAATGAGATCTCATTATATATGTTACTCTATAGATTAAATACTTAGATTAATAAATACAGACCTGTTTTTAACATTCTGCATACCATACCATAGCAGATGTATCAAAGTTTTATTAACCAGTCATATGTTGATGAATATGTAGATGTTTTCAAATTGCCCGTGTGGTTTGGTGCTGCTATAAGAAATGATTTAGTAAACATCCTTGCATATATATTTTTAAGTGCTGGTACTATTATTTCTATATGATAGTTTCCCAAAGATTAATTGATAGATCAAAGGTACTCACAATGTTTTCCTGCTTCCCTTGAATCATGAAAAGACCTTGAGGAATAACTTGTTAAAGTTATGTGTTGGCCTGTGCTGAGTTATATTATCAGTTGTTGCCACCTCTTTGAACCAAGATATAAGAATGTTGACATCTTGGATACTACTCCTAAGTGCCTACTTTGAATGGTATTCCTGGGGTCAAGTATGAGAGCTCTGTCTACAAGCTTCTGCTATTTACTTAGCTCCCCTTTTAAGCTCTTTAGCCGTGTGTGATTAGAGGTGGGTAGTACACGTGCACCTTCCTGATCACCTCTGCCCCACTGGCAGCAGTCTGAATGAAAGAGACTCTGAGTAAGTTACACTAATATCTCTGAGTTCCACTTGATAAAAAGGAGTAGGTCTAGCTTCTGTAAGTCCCTTCCCACCCTGATACAGCATGAACTGTAAGATATTCATAATAGCTCATTAAGTACTTTTAGAATATCAAAAGACTTGTGCAGACCAGAATTAATATATAGTAAATATCTGAGTCAAGTTGGCTTAAAGGTAAATAATAAAAAAATAAAATAAAAAACAAGTATACCAGGAAGACAGGTGGAATAGCTGATGGTGTTGCCTATAATAGATTTTAAAAGATGTTTGAATAGATAAGTAAATGTATGTATGTGTATTTATATACATACAAACTTTGTGTATGTGTGAGTGTGTCTTTAGGAAACAGTATACTGTGGTGGAAGAATACAAACTTATAACTGAGAC